AAGCAAAAATTTGTGTTTATATTTGTATTATTCCAACCTATATTTTTATAGCAGACTGTATTCTGACGGTATGAGTGCAGTTGATTTAAGCATTTAAGAGGATAATTAATATTTGCAAAGGATAGTTTTCTGTGCTGATCCAGAAGCTTTGACTCAGTTTGCTTCACTCCAGACAAAGTATAATGTCCCCAGAAAAGAATCTATTCTACTTTTAGAACATTACAGCAGGCTTTGCAGAAAATAAGCTAAATCATTTCAATAACATTAAATCCAGGGTGAAGTTTAAAAACAGAATTAATGTTTACCCAATTATCTGGAAAGTATTTATCCACTATCTCTCTCATTTTTGCTTGCTGAGTGTGAAGAATAGAAGGATCAAAATAGAGTATGACATAGAGCATAGCAGCCTGAGTGGCCAGGGCAGTGCTGCGGTGTTCTGGTAAGGGATATGCAGAAACCTAGGAAGAGGAAAGAAAACAAAGCAAAATATAATGCAACAATCCCTTCCAAATATTATGGGGAACATTAAAAAGAACACTATATAGATACCAGGAGGCTGTCTTATTTGTCACATAGGTAAGCTGGGCATGCTTACACATGCAACACATTCACCAGGTATGTGAGTATCAGGCTTAACTTACATTCACATATCTTTGAATGTGGGACATGACATTCATATACCTGTGAACATAAGACATTATATTCACATACCTGTGAATGTGAGACATTGTAGTCACATATCTGTGAGTATAAGACATGTAACTGACCTGGTTATAAATGTCATCCGAGCGGAGGCGGCCAACAACCATGCTGATGAAGGTTTCACTTATGGGCACCCTGCTGAAGTAACTCTCGGGGTAGTTGGGAGGCCTCTTAGCTCCAGGCTGGCTCGAGTATCCAGTGCTCCGAAGCAACTTACAAATATCATCTAAATTGGAATCAGCAGATGATCGGGCTGCGCTGTTTTTTGAAAGGAACAAATATTAACCTGTGTGACTTGCTTACTTCCTTCTTTTGCTCCCCTTCTAACCCACCTTTCACTCCAAGAGAGTAATGAGATACTAAACTTATATGCTTACTCCAGGACTATAATTTTCATCATGTTACAGAAGGTTGCTGCTAAATGCCCATGCTGGATCCCAGGAAAGCATACAAAGCACAAACAAGCAGACACAAGAAAACTCTACTCGAGGACAAAAAAGTACCTTTGCATTCAGGAGAGGTACATTTGGGTCCCCCCCTACCCCTCCTTTTCCAAATGACCCTTCCTCCTTTATCCCTGTATTCCAGAGATAAGCAATCTTTTCTCGTTACACACTGGAAAGCCAGCAGCACAGGTACAGAGTGCCATCTTTTTCAGTTGGATTATAGGTGAAAAAGTTTGCACTGAAATTCTCAGAGACTCTCACTACCACAGAAGTCTTGTAATCTAGTGCGAATCAAGCACTCTACTAAAGTCTGACTTGCAATACATTTTCTGTCTAGATGCTCAAGACTTTTCAGAGATTTGAACCAACAATTGGGAACATGTAATACTTTCAGAGCTGACACTTGGAGCATTAAAGCTTCAGGTCAAAGTTCATTTGTCAATGAATTTCAAGTCTCTTATGATAGCATGAGAATTTAGGGCCTGAGTCTTTAGAGGCAGATCTGCAAAAACAACTAATGTAAGGATCTCTACTGACATTCAGAGAGCTATACAGAATTATCAGAGTCTATCCATATGCTCTAGGCAGTCCAGAAAAGTGTCAATATCTCCATTTATCTTAACTGAAAAACTGAGTGCATTGAACGTACTGTGTGTTAGATCCTTTGAGCTTTGAGTTCTTCTGCATACCAATCCACATTACCTGTATCTGTAGTAGGAAACCAACATTCTTTCTCTGACCTCTCCTTCAATCTTCTGGTCAATGACCAAGAGCATGACTCCATACAGATAGAGGGCTTCACACTGTTGAGGAAAAAAACAGAAACAAAGAACAAAAAGCAAAAACCAGAAGGAAATCAAATCTGACAAACTAACACTATGGAATCTACTGTAAAACTAGTGTGAAAATGACAGGTTGTTGATTTTTGAATTGAATTTGAATTTGGTAACTTGAGACCAGAAAAAA